TTTATACGTAGCTGTTATCTGGATAATTAAGAGATGGATGAAAAAATTAGACGCTTTATAATTATTATATAAATCGAAATTATTCCAAAAAGTGTCTTTGATGTCTGTCGTGTCTCTTTGTAGGTATATTCTTTTAGATAGGGGAATGTATTGGCTCTGTACGTTTTTCTTTCTTTAAAATTTGTATTTTTAATAAGTGTTTGTATTTTCCTTTTCTTCATATTGTTCATCAAAAAGGAACATTAATTTACTCACTCTTGATTAATGATTTATTAATGTTTGGATACTTATTATACGCATTACGTTTTATTATTATATTTTAAAGCTTTAGATGATAATTATTAAAAAAAATTAAAATAGGCGAAATAAATAAATATCAGGTACTGTTTTTGGAAATAACTTTTTATCACCTAATTTCTTCTTATGGATTCTTTTTGTAGAATGCTGCATTATTTACTCCTATTTTTTTCTATTTTAAGGTGAAAAAGTGAACCGGTAAGAAAAACGTGTGTATCAATAGAAAATTTAAAGTAAGCTGTAAGGTATCGCGTATTTTTGAGTTTATTTAATTAATTATAATATTTTCTCTATTTATTTATTTTTAAGACTGTGCTGTGTTTATTGTATGAGTTTTGTTATTTTATTAAATCTAGAAATACATATCTGGCTATAACATATTCACACGTGCATGTTCATTTAATTTTTATCTTCTTTTTTGTCCTTTAAGGAATATTGTGATGAATGAATAGGAAATATAGTACATACATAGGTACTGGTATGTTGTCGTTAGAGAATTTTGAGACCTTAAAGACTAAAAAATTACAAAAAAGACGCCTGTCCTTTTTATTCTTTGCAGCAAAAATATAATAAATCGCACCGTTGCTGTTTAATTAAAGGGCTCGACAAATGCATTTTATCTTNTCATGCCCATTTTTTTAAATTAGAAATTCTCCTTGAAAAGCTCTGTGCATATTAACCTACATGTTGTATACAGAACATTACAAATTATGTACAATTAAAGAACAAGTAAATGAGATTATTCTTTAGGTTTAAGGAATAGGTATTCAGACATAGGTGGCAAGTGTTCTGATTAGTTTAAATGTCAATATGTCGTAATAAGATGTCGGTGAGTGTGTACACAAATGTGAGATTTAGAAGTTCCGGTTCAAAAAATCGAATTACCGATTAAAATAATTTGCATAACATCAATGTTCATTACCTACGATATTTCGAATTTTAACTCAATATTTCATAATTAAAAATTTAAGTCAATAATGTTTACTTGGTTTTTGTAAGTATTATTTATACAATTCCAACCGAAAATTACGTCACAGGTTATTAACGAAAAACACGCTTGTTAATATTCTAGAAGGATAATGTTTAGCACTATAGTTTAAAGTAATTTGGTACAAATATTAATAATTAAAGTTTTTCGCACCAAATGCGTGAAAATTGGCAAACGCTGCCTACATTTATTTGCTATGAAACAATGTTTTATTTATGACTTATGATTACAAACTTTGCACTTTTATGTGTTTTAGAATTCTGTAGTCAAATGGCAAAAAATGAAACCCTTACAGTTTCCATTCATACTTATTCTTTAAAGTTTATACCCTTTTTACGTCAATCCCTTTTTCTAACGTTTATTCTGTCATAAATTGATAATGTTTTTATCGAAGTAATGCATATTGTACAGTAACAATTGTACCTGCTGTTTGCCAACTAAATGGTCTCAAATTTAAGTGTATAAATAACCAGAAAAATACGTAAAATGCCTGTTAATTAAACAATAAATATAAAAAGCACTAAAGATACGTTAATCAACAAGAAAACTGCGCAAAATTGAATAAACTTTGAAATCGTTTTAGTTTTTCTATTCTCTATTTTCAACGGAGCGTTTATTATTTTCTTCCACGAATAAATATCAACTGAAAAAAATTGTATTTTTGAAAATATACTTAAAAGGGTCAATTTGGATTTCATTGTGACCAGAAATAGAAGAATATGACCGTTGTGGTTGTTCATAGTCGGTCATTTTTATTGCATATTGTTGCTGTTGTTGACCACTGTGCTTTATTCTTTCTTAATTAGTGTCCAAAATAAATAATATAAAATAATATTGGATTTTTAAAGTATAAGAAATGATGTATTAAAATGTTCAGGTATAAGTATTGCACTAAATTCCCTTTTTTTTTTAAATTAGATGTGAAACTTTTTTTAAGATTTCAAAAATAAATACATACTATTCTTCAATTGGATATTGTTAACTGGTAAAGGATAACAATAAAGCGCAGAAATCATTGGAAATGCGCAATTTACATACACTTCTTATTTTTTAATTATCTTAAATTAATTGCGACAGGTAGAAATTGTACAATGAATCGCTTCAATACATTCACGAAATCATTTTAATTGATAGGTAGTTTTTTTGTCGTCAATAACGCAAATAAGAGTAAACATACTTATTTTTGAGAGTTTCGGTCATAAAAAGTATATTACCTCTAGAACGTGCATTATACAACAAAGTGCTAATTATCGTTAACTCATAAAATGAACACAGGTATTTTTTTGGCAGTGTATATTTGCTGTAGGTACTTTTTACACATTGCGTTGTTTCAAATCTACGTATTAAAAATTTACGTTGCTTTTTTGTATCAATTGACATTAAAGACGTATGCTATACACAATATTAAAAAAAAAGTTTCTTTTACACAAATAAACAAACAGGCACTTTTAGTTAAACATTGATAGATTTGGCTCCTGAAAAATGTTTCGCGGACGTTAATAACGACGCCTTTAATGTAATAAATTTAATTAAAAGGCAATTAGATTTCGTTTCAAATAAGGGGTCTGTAAAAAGTATCTTCAGTTTAGTGTATACACGTATGTAAATGTATGGTTACTTTTTGTTACAATAGGTAACCTTAATATAAATCACGTTACATAATAGACCTGCGGCTTTTCGTTATAAAACCACAATTTAATCATACAAAAAGTAACCAGGTAGGGACTATTTTTGCACAACACCTACTTATATTAATTAAGCCATCGAAACAATAATTAAGTATTTGGTTTGTTCATATTTTTTGAAAATCATTTGAAACCCCCCAAAACTAAATTGTGGCAGTTCTATTTATTTAAATAGTCAGATTTAGGTATAGTCTGTAGCAAATCATGTATAAATCCAGTTCTTTATGTGCGTAGTGATTATTGTTTTTATAAAGACAAATATTTTCCCAGTTATCAGTTATGGCTTAGCAGATGTTTCTATTTATATTGAAAATTAAGTTTACTGTTATTATCTACGCGACCAGAAAGGCAAATAGGGATTTGTAATGTCAAGTTTATTACTTAAATATTATATAAAGTGACCCTGGGCTCTNAGTCAAAAGCAATTAATTGTCTGAATCCGAGTTTGAATTTAGAATTCTGTTGCTGGTCATTAAAATTAAAGTATGCAAGTTAATATGTCACATATGAAATAGAATGAAATAATGTATGTAGGTTTTTATTTTTAATTTTTTGGAAATATTAAATCTGCTGCGTGATATTTCGAACATGACCCATGTTTGCAATGGAATATCCTGTCTTAAAAGGACTGGTGGCATTGCCAATGGTGACGAATAACATACATACCTAATCGACATTGCTTTGGGCAAAATCGTTTCCATTTAAACTCCGAAGGATTTACGTGACCACAATCTCGTACAAACGTAAAATATTTTGACGGTGTGATCGCTTCTGATTTTCGAATTATCCTTTACACCACACGAGGACTTGCACGTGTGTATGCGTTCACATCATAACAATAAAATAAAAAAAAACCAAAGGCATTAATATGTATAAAATTATAATTAAAACTTATGTTGTGTGAATTTGTCTGCAATCCTTAACAATTCTCTACATGAGTGTGTGTCTGCAAAAGCACGAATACCAAGACAATTTGAAGGATCTAACTGTCTCTTCAAAAATTCACAGCAAATATCTTGAATTTCAGTTAGCTGTAGTAGGCAAGCAGCTGGTAGAAGGGTTTGAACATTGGATTCTTCAACAACTATGTGTGAAGTGTAGCAAAAATCTATAAGCAAATCCATGGCATTTTCATCAATGTCACGAATAGTTACTTCAGTTTGGCGAGATTCTGCTAATTCTCCAGTAAACATTGCACGAAAGTAAGGGCTACAAGCACTTAAAATCACACGATGAGCAAATATTTTCCGGGAACCAACATTAAGCACTACATCACACAATTCACGATGCCTTCGAAGCAAATTTAATTCAGTAAGGGTGCTTTTAGGATGTTTATCAGAAGTATGGGAAAGTCTCGCAGGAGATGGGGCCCGATCTCCGATGGCCATTTCGCCCATTCTACAAGTGGCTCTGATGTGAGAAGCCAATTGGAGGCGTAAGGGCGGTGACGCCCAACCCCACACCGAGTCTATCTAAATCGAAAAATAGTAAAATAGAAGAATTAAATGTTTATTTCAAAAAATTGACGTTCAAATTTACCTTTACGAATTGTGTAGTCTAATCGGTCTAATACCTTATAAACGTGTAAAATGAGATCAGTAGTTAAGCTCTTGCTTCTTATCTTCTCCCATTGCAGTATATTAACACCATACACTTAAGATTAAATATTGAATTTACCTTATTAAAAATATATCAACATAATACAGAAACATCAAACGTCAACTGTGAACAAACGTCAACTTTTGTATATTCTGTGATGCAATGTATATGTCTTCAACCTACACAACCAAAATATTACTAGTTCCAAATTTTACATCAATTTAAAATAAGAAACAATCGTTTATTTTTCATGTAAACCCATTTTTNCTATAACAATATTAATTACTGGCGATTTTTTTCAGGTAACAAATTAAATTTTCAACGGTGCCAAGCTGAATTTGGTAAGCAAAACAAACTTTTGTTTTACGATTAGTGTAGGTATGCCATATTTTTAAAAGCGAAAAACAAATTGTAGTTATTGTTTAGTTTATTTATTCGTTATGTTAATTAAGAATTGTAGGATAATGCTGAAAACAATAAGAAACTTGGCTGGAGTTGCACACATGAATAAGAATTTTTATAATTTTGGTGCAAATTGCGCATGTTTCAAATTCCATGACATTGAAAGTGTTTTAAAATATTTCGACGTGCAATTAAAATAACAAAAATTATACTTGCAAATTTTACTATGCAGTCTCAAAATCGAAAAGAATGTGCCAATAAACTGAACAAAAACTCTGTGAAAATCAACATAGCAGTGGAAATTTTGATGCAGTCTTCGAATTTTCGTCAATAGTTTTATTTTTGTTGTTAAAGTTTTGTTCATAATGGTAATTTTTCTATTGTGTATGGTATTTAAAAAGTTGTGACGTTATCAAAAATAATACATGGAGTCAATTAAAGTTTAATGACATTTAAACTAGATCAATAATCTAGAGCATTTATTACTTAGCTCTGAGAAATATCTTGTAAGCGATTAAACGTTAATTCAATTGCAATTTTAGCGAATATTAATAACTGTAGTAATGCGAAACATGTGATATAAAAATTTTGTCGTAAGAATAAAAACGATTATGAAATAGCTGTATACTGTATCTCATCGTATATATTTTTAAGTATGATTAAGAAAAAGGTTATTCTTGTGTCAATTAGCAGATCCATCTTCTAGATACTATCTCCAATAAAGTAAATCAAAAGGAAATTGGTGGATCATTCGTCCTAAGTAGTGATAGATTTATGTGACTAATAAAATTATGTATCAGATGTAGACTTTAATCTAGACAAATCTAAATAAGTTCACCTTGAATTGGAAAAGTATTACATGTGGATGTGGGCGAAGTCAAGGTGATTAGTAAGTACTACTAAAAAATTGTTGTAACAACGCTAAAGGCAATCGGAGATCCCAGTTCATTCCGTCTTACTTTTAATTACAAAGTTGACGACCTTTGATACCTATTCTCAAAAGAGCAACTGTATTATTTTCGTAGTATTGTGACTATACATTACTTGCAAATAATGACTTTAGAAGTAAATTAGGAAAATCGAAAGAATGAAAAGTACTTGGACCTAATAACGGAATAGTTTTTCAAGAACTATAAGTTTATTGTTGTAGAATATTTATGGTATGGCTTAATTAGGTTTTAGTTTTTTTTTTTATTTTGATGTCGATTGAAATGGCATCTATTGTGCTTCGTGAACGTACTTTTACTCTTCCTTTGTCTTCTTGTATTTAAAAATTTAAAACAAAAGATAGTAAGTTAAACGATAATGAACTACCGGTCTGACCGGAAGCGGCAAAGCACAAGAATTATCTCCGACGGAAATGCCATTTACAGCCGACATTTTCCTAGTACGTAGAGTTCATGCCCATTTTCTTAAATTAGAAATTCTCCTTGAAAAGCTCTGTGCATATTAACCTACATGTTGTATACAGAACATTACAAATTATGTACAATTAAAGAACAAGTAAATGAGATTATTCTTTAGGTTTAAGGAATAGGTATTCAGACATAGGTGGCAAGTGTTCTGATTAGTTTAAATGTCAATATGTCGTAATAAGATGTCGGTGAGTGTGTACACAAATGTGAGATTTAGAAGTTCCGGTTCAAAAAATCGAATTACCGATTAAAATAATTTGCATAACATCAATGTTCATTACCTACGATATTTCGAATTTTAACTCAATATTTCATAATTAAAAATTTAAGTCAATAATGTTTACTTGGTTTTTGTAAGTATTATTTATACAATTCCAACCGAAAATTACGTCACAGGTTATTAACGAAAAACACGCTTGTTAATATTCTAGAAGGATAATGTTTAGCACTATAGTTTAAAGTAATTTGGTACAAATATTAATAATTAAAGTTTTTCGCACCAAATGCGTGAAAATTGGCAAACGCTGCCTACATTTATTTGCTATGAAACAATGTTTTATTTATGACTTATGATTACAAACTTTGCACTTTTATGTGTTTTAGAATTCTGTAGTCAAATGGCAAAAAATGAAACCCTTACAGTTTCCATTCATACTTATTCTTTAAAGTTTATACCCTTTTTACGTCAATCCCTTTTTCTAACGTTTATTCTGTCATAAATTGATAATGTTTTTATCGAAGTAATGCATATTGTACAGTAACAATTGTACCTGCTGTTTGCCACCTATTCTCTTATTGCTAATTTAACTATAAAGATGAATTAGGTGAATCACATATTCGAAAAACACAATTTATTCTGAGAAATAACATATACTGATGTGATATTTTTATTGCTTTAATAACAAATTACGATCGTATAATGTTTAGCATTCCATTTTTATACGCTGATTCCCCTTTGATATTTATAAACTAATCCTAATATTTGCCAAGATTTCTTTTTAATAATGATGATATGTTTTTTTTTTGTATAATCCACACTGAAATTTCTCAGAAAACAAATTATATACAGGATTACAATAAAAGAACCGCATATTTACAGCGAAGCCTTTACTAAATACTAAAAAGGTAAAGAAACGTTTTATTATTTACGATTTTGCTGAACTGGCAAATAGCTAATCGTATTAATAAATTATATGAAACGAATACTGAACATCACCTCTTCAGAAGTAAAAACGTCTTAAAAATATTTCAGGTTTTTTGGTATGTTTGTGGACGACTGCTAAATAATAATCATAGATTTTAAACATTCAAACAGTGCCTACGTTTTTGTTACATGTGGTATGATAGAGGAGATTAGAGTGTTGAATATGAATAATTAAATTATTACTACAATATTAATTATGCGTTAGTCAGTTGATAAAACAAAAAAATAAAAAAACCTCTAGATTTTAATAAAATTGGGGTATTTAGTAAAGGGAATTAAAGGGATTTTGTGGTGTAATTCGTTCAAATTATGAGAAATACTGAATATGTGACTATCAAAAAAACTCAAAAGGTTGAGAGGAAATAAATTGCATCTAATTTTAAATATATAATTTATTAGAGTACAATTATATTTTAAACTGCAACATTCTCAAATAACAATAGCCAACGTTCTTTCGAGAACAGGCTTATTGCAGTTAGCCTTTTCCGCCAAGGAAATTATTTGGCTGCAATTTTCATCTAAGATTAAATATTCAATAACATATTTTAATACCGGTTGTTTGTCTCTTTTTGTTTTAATTGACCTTCGATAATTACATTTTCACATAAATTAACGGTATTTTACAAAAACGCTGCATACGTGGGTATCTAAAAGGACATATTGGAAAATACGTCTTACTTTTTAGTTATTTCCGCCATTTGAATAAGTTTTCGTTCTCTAAAAAGATAAGGAAATGAAGAGAATAAATGAATAAAATATCGAAATGTGACCCTGAGAGTAAAATTCTTTCATGTTTTTAATGCCTAATTTTACACCCGATTTCATCCAGGAAATCCTTAAGAAAGTTTTATCTTACAATCACTTATTATACAATACAATTTACTGGAACGTTTCAAAATCGTTTTACTTTATTTGCAACTTTAAACAAAATCGTTTCTTTATTGTGGACAAAACAATTCGATTACCTTTGGCAAGGTTGTTCCCTGAATAGACGCTAAAGATAGGGTAATTATTCGGAAATTGTTTATGAGAACTAGAGATAATGAAATAATTTGAATTAAATTTGTAGTATGTCTAGATTCATGGAAAACGCAACATATAAAAATACCTACAGCAATTTAAATTGAAAACATAAATATAAATTATAGCCATTTATTTTTTAAAGGTTATGCTGATGTTGCGTGATCATGGTTTTCTTTGCACATACGATCGAACTTCTGTAATTCAAACTTTTATAACTTGAAATCTTTTCTAACTCGAACATTTTTTTGTTTCCTTGACATGCGTATTGTTTTACATTTATTTCAAAGTCTTTCACTTGGATTTCTTTCTGTTTCTTTAATTCGAACTTCAATAAATTTTCATCGGAAAAATCAATCGCAGCAATAATTAATGGCTCCAAACTATTACCATAACAAGTTTTCTTTGCTGCACAACATTATATCATGAAAAACAGCAAAAAAATACGACAATACAAACGAAGTGCATATATAGAAATTTTTCTTACTTCGAGCATTGGTATCGAGTTAGGAAAGTTTAATTGCATATGTACTTTTTTTTTTTTCGCTATAAAGCAAAGAATTGTTTGTCCACCTTAAAGTCTTTGAAAGGTTTCCCGCGTTATGTATTAAGTCGAAATTTTTTTAAAAGCTTGTCAAACTCTTTTAGACCAATTTGCTAGTGTTTTCTCTTTCGGTTCTTTACAGTATAAAAATTCTTGTTTTAAGAAGCCTTTCCAATATTAAGGTAATACAAATTCATTTAAGTTTGTTCAGGAAAATTAAAGTTTTTGAATACATTTTTGTTCATCAGAAATTTTTTTGCTGCTAATTAATTTGTTTTTGTCGATTCTATACATTGAAATTAATAAAACGTTTGTTGCGAAAGCTCAAACGAATTTAATAACCACCGCTGCTATTGTTTTGCTACACAGTAACTTAATCAACTGAAGTAAGTAATTTAATTGGTTCGAAACTTTAATAAGTGTATTATTAATTTTTGTATTATACCAGTTTATTTTCTTTTCGGGCTTTAAAGAAAAAGAAAATTCCTTGAACTTTAAAAATAATAAAAGCTTGCAACTTTTCCAGTCTTATTCTTGTAAATTGAAAAGAGTATCAGTAAGATCGAGTCTGTAATACGTATCTATTCGCGGAAAGCGTCGTGATGATAAAATTATTTTAACGGCAATTATTTATCTACAATTTCCCGGTTTTCTGCAACATTTCGCAATATCTAGATACACGCACAATGTGTGGTTTTTCAATTATTAAAAGAAGGTTGCTTAGAATTTTCATAGAAAACTACTACGATACAATTTTGTATTTATGTATTCATGGTACAGATATATATGCTCACGGTAAAGTACCTACCACATTTTAATACTTTCCGCTAATTGTGAGTATGACTTCATCTACGCACATCATCTTGCATGGTTAAAAATGCAAGTCCAATACAGTTAGTTGTCTCATTCGTTTTTTATAACGAGTAAAGGTTGTCGGTTGTCGATTAAAGTATTTTTAGTTGAAAATAAAACCGCTATTTTAAATATCTATATACATACATAAGTAGGTACTATATCAGTTCCATTCACGCACTCACTCACTCATGCATCAAGTCCGGGGTTCTTAACATGGTGAATGACGTAAATTGACAACCAGCAATTCACCGTTAAAATTATTTATAATAGCCCAAATCCGAAATGATAATGTACTATATGCACACATACATGTGTAGATAATGTACAACAATGATTCAGTCTCGTTGTTGGCTTTTTGTTACCTACACGGCGATGAGTTATTAGAGTTTCGAGTCAATGAACTTTACGATAGATATCCTTTAAAATGTATTTAGCGTGATTTCAGGATTCATTATAGTAATAACGTCACAACTACTTTTCTTTGGAATCTATTTTCGAGAGAATTTACTTAAAGTTTGTCATGTGCTACCTTTATTCTCGCTTCCAAGAATCTTGAGTTTTCAGCGAGTTATTCCCTTGCTTCAAGGAAACTCTGGTCTCTGGCGAGTCGAACGTTGCGTTCGTCGAGTGGGAGCCGATTTTATATAGAGCCGACCGGTTTGAGAGCGGATTAATCATTTAAACAATTGCGAGGAAAACGGTTAAAAGTTTATAACGTACAATCGATACATACAGCGCAGAGTGAGCGAATGCGTTTTTTGAAACGGCGTTTTCGAGTTTACGATGATATTTTCTTCGGAAAACGTGTCCGATGATCACGTTCAAATAATACAAAAAGACTGCCGCTACTCTCCAATTATTTCAAGAAGACACCTACCTGTTGAATTCTTCCGTCCAAGTGCCACCAGATACCTACTACTACATAAATTATAAAAGTGCCAGCAGTGATAATTTCTCGATGATCTCCGTTGCTAAATAGTCGTGCCAATACAATTAGCAGTTTAACATTATAAATAAGAAGAAATTATTTATACGACACGGTTCAGTCTGTTTCTGAATTGCGAGTAGATAAAGTGCAAGTTCGCTATATTTTATTTTTTATCAATGGAAAGTGGCCTTCTGTTTTCAATGCCTAACCGAGCCTTAGATTTGGGTCCCGTTGACGCGAAAAACGAAAGTTTTTCGAAAATATTAACGGATGAAGTGACCGCAGAAACCGATCCGCAATATGAACAATTTTTGACCGATGTGTGGGTTGGGTTAGTCCTTACTTTCATGGTTCTCAGCTGCATTTGCTGCATGTGCTCCTGTCTCTTATATCATAAGTTTCAACAATGGAAAAGGCACAGTAAGTATCTTTTTAATTGATAATTGTATGTAATGGTAAATGTCAAAACGTATCACATTAGATATACACGGGTACGCTTTTCTTATTATTGTTTTTCTTATTCGCAATGTAATTATTTATCAGGTTTCAGGTGATCTATCACTTTTAACGCGTTTATATCTTTTCCATTACAATATTGTGCGTTATCGGCGCATTTTGTTCAGTTACCAAGAACTATTGATCAATCTTAAATGATGTTATAATGTGTTAAGTAGGTATGTACAAAGTTTAAGTGTTTATTATTATAAACATCTTACTCGCTTCGTCAATGTTTCGTCAATTGTTTTTATGAAAAGTAATGTAAATGTATGTACTTGATGTTCGAAAATTTTGATAGGAATCAACTTTTTTGCAAGTTCTAAACCGTTTTTAATTTATAAATTTGATGGTAAAGCAATTGACAATTAAAAAGGAAAATAAGAAAATGGAAGCGCCTGTTTGTCACTGTAAATGGAATAATATACTTTCTTTGCAGGAGAATGGTGTGGATTTTTAAATTTTTGATAACTGAAAGTATATCATTTTATGCCAAGCTTTGGTTTTTGATCGTTTAATTCATTTAAATTAATTAACTGCTAACGATCAGTTAGATACTTATATAATTCTATTTTAGTACCTACCTGACTGGAGGTCAATAAAAAAATAGAATCAAAAACCATTAACTTTTCGGAAAAATAACATAAAACTAGATATAGGCAATAAATTTTGATCGTTTAAACATGCTTTACCCATAAGCGACATTTAAATGGCAATGGCAAAAACTTAAATCATATCATCATATTTTTGTATATGCAAATTGATTGTTTTCGGTGTTGTCCAGACAGAGCTTGTTTTCTAGATATTCGATAAAGAAAATCGCGACATTTCTAAAATTAGCCGTTAAATTTGGTATTTAAATTAGTACATACTCGCCTCGTTCAGCTTTAATCTAAGTCGTAAACATTTCTTTTTGGCTGGTTACAAAAACTTAATGGAACGAGAAGGAATAGGTTTTTTAACGTTAATAATCCTGCTTCAGGATCTTCAGGAGTGTACAGTGTAAACAATTTGTAAAACTTTATTTGGTGAATCTATTAAGAATTAGCAGATATTAACAGATATTAACAAATATTGAAGTTTAACCTCTCATAAAAATACTGAAGGTTTTTATTTTTCATCTAAAATTTAATAGGTAATTATCGCCTATTTTGTTTCGCTCATAATTTTTGACATTTTCATCCTTTCACATTTCGCAGATGTGTATCTATCATGCAATTAGATACATTTACTTTCATGCTATAACTCTTGAAACTCTTTAATATAAAAGAAGCCAAGGTTAAAGAACGTGAACTCGCGGAAGCTCTCTCCGGGTCACCACTTTTAAACATAAAATTAGTGAAAAATTAAAAAGTCGAGAATTAGCTGCGCTTTCAGTTTCCTTTTTTGTTTCTGAATCACCGGATTTTTTACAAAGGACCTGTTAACGAAAGTTTAGAGTGACTTAGGTAACACTCATGTAGGATGTTTGCTTTGACTAACAATAATAAGATATGATACGCTGGTTTACCTACGTCGTGTTTATGTTCAAAAGAATCATTGTACACACTCATTACTGTTAATTCTGACACGTGCTTCTAAGGAATCGCTAATACATGCGGTTTTATGACAAATATTTTCCTGTTTTAATTCCGTTTAGTTATTGCTTGTTGACGAATGAATGTAGAACGGTTCAAAGAGATAAAGTATTTCTATAATTAGACTGATACATACTTTGGTGGAATCCTCTAATTCAAATATAAATATTTATAGCAGTTTTCGTATTCATTCCAGATTTTCCTTGTTTTCGAAAATGCATACATACACTGATTTTTCTGTAGTATAGAGTGACCGTAAACAACTGTATTTTGTACCTGTAAGGTATACATATTTGTAATTTTTCTGTTCTGCGAAATGATTTAAATATAACCGAATTTAAAACGAAAACAAGCAAGGTATATTTAAAAACATTATAATTTTTCTCGTATTTTCCATTTCTAAAAAGTAATCCTGTTTATCATTTTAAAGAAACGACTGTAACGGTGTCACGGTGTTAATTAATATAAATAAGTTAATCATTCGTCCCCTAAAATAAGTCCATTTATATATTTACAGACACCTATATCTATAATTGCATAAATTGTTGTTTTTACTCAAATCTTTATTAACTGTACTTGCTATCTTACTTTCTTTGTTCATTTTATCGTTTTTCATACTTATATTAGATACTGTAAATACATAAGTACCTACAAACAGCATTTTTATTGCTGAATTGTTTGTAAATATTTGTCGATGCTGTTTTGGTTAATCCTATCGTTAAAAACGGATAATATTTTACGAGTTACCGCGGTATTGTACAATGTAAGATAGAAGAATCGTTGTTGTAATTTGTCATAAGTAATAAAATTTTATATCCTATTCGGTATCTTGTACTGTTGTAAAACTGTAGGAGGTATCAATTGTGACAGTGTCTTACACCAAAAACGATCTAATTTGCTTATCAGTGAAGACCTATCTTATTAACAACCGACATGTGCACTTACACGTACTTACGCGGACTAAAATAATATCTTATTTATTTGTGACAGTAAAACAGCAATATGTATTTACTATTCGATATTGGGGGAACAAAGAACATGTTTTTTTTTTTTAATAAACTCATAAAATTGTTTTGCTCGCTGTAATGTTTACTACTTTTAACAAGAAATTGAATAAAAAAAGGTAGTTGTAACAACACGCTAGCAGTTTCTGTATGTCTTTAAACATTACTCACTTCAATCGATTCAAAGTTTTCAACATTTTTTTACAGACAACACACACTTTGCTTTGTCCATAAAAGTACCAGGTTATTTTATATTTTAGGGGTCACATTTATGATTTACTTAAGACGGCAACGATAACACTCATTTTGTTCAATTGTCTTTTCCTAGTTTAGGTAACGTTATGATCCTAAGCACTTCGGTAAAGTTAGGTTTCGGTAGGATAAGGTAACACAACCAAAGTGAGCGTTGTGGTTGCCGTGTCTTTGTAACAATGTGAACTCAAAGGAAACCTGTTCTTGTTCTATCTACGCTGAACTGTACAAGTAACTAATTATCAAATGTCAATAATTCCTATGTACACTTGTATTAACCGGTTCTTTTTTTGAAGAATTTCATTATTTTTAAGTGGTATTTTCATCGAAAACGAAACGTTAATAAAAAAACAAATGTTGGTGGCGCGGTGCAATAAGACAGGGATCTTGAACTTCATTTTCAATAACAAATTATATTCTGCTAACGATAAGTACTGAGTTCAATGATAAATAAAATTGCGTACAATTTATCATTCTTTTAACCACTTCGTTTTTGCAATTAAACCATAGTTATTACAAAATCGGTAGTTAATCCATTTGGCTTAGTTGCATTTGCAATGAGCTGACTTTTTTGGAAACAGCTTTTAGAGCGCCCAAAAAAGGCCATTGTTATTACAATTTTGCTGTTCCGAATTTCACTTATTATTGTATAATGTTAGTTGTAACTCGCTAATCATTTCCAAGGTTCTCACTTAATCAAATGAGTAGCTATCTAACGCAAACCACAGCAGAGTGCGTAAGATATTGAAATTTATATTGGCTAGTTATTCCGCTACTTAACCAATTTGAAGAGCTTTTGTTTCTTATTGTAAAGGATCCTAGTTTAGCAATCGTTCCATTAAATCGATAGTAACATTAAAAAACGTTAAGATTTTTTATGAGCGCACAGCTAAAAACTGTGATGAAGTCAAATTTTAACGAATCAGCAGCAAATAACATTGAAAATCTGTTTGTAAATTAGTGTTTTGTATTATTTTTAAATAATAAATGTACCTAATCTCTGTTATCATGATGGTGTACAAAGAATTCATGGAATTTTTTATCAGAAAATTCGATATTTTGCAATTGATATCGGTTAAAAAATAATTTTTATTGTTTTTGTACAGTTCCGCTGCCAGCAGATGTTTCGTATCTAATCTGTATACTTTGCAAAATTGATTGTACCTATCCTCACAGAAAGAAATGATGTATAATATAAAATATAAGGGTCTTATCTGATTTTTTAAAAGTAAATAGTTTTGTCGATTGTACATTGTTTTTTGATTTGTGATCTCAAGATTTGAACCGAAATCTGGTAAACATATTTTTCATCCTTCAATCCTTTATTACAAGTGGAGTACCTAGATTGAATAAAAAAGTGTGAGTAATTTTTTGGAGCACTAGATTGAATTGGCAGTTTGTAATATTTTAATTTCCAATTGATTTTGACAGAAGGACAATAAATTATAGTATTTTTGTATAATCACTGCATTATTTATGATAAATACCAAATATTGCTTTTATTAGATTTTGAAATTACAAACGATATTTCACTATTGAAATCTTTTTTATAATCATTTACAAAAATACGGTCAAGAACGTGCTTTCTAAAGAGTATTTTTTAACTTATTTATTTATTTGAAAAAAATGTTAATCACAGAATGGTTAATCGATTTTTCTGCCCTTGACATATTTAAAAAAAAAATGAGAATGATGTGCAACGTAAAAAAAATGTTATAATTAGGTATTATAATAATTAGATAAAAACGGAAATTAAATATTTATTTGATAAATAATTTATCTACGATAAGAAATGAATTACATATTTATTTAATCCATTTTGGAATTGAATCGGACTGTACTACTGACCAGTAACAATTAATGAATATCTACATATATATTTTGTGTAAGTATCTAATATTTGTTGTATAGGTATGCATATTTTAATTCGAATTCATTTTGAATAAATACCTATGTGTAGAAACATACGTCATGTGATATGTCTAATATCAAAGTCAAAATTCGTTTAAAACTTGTGGCCTAGTTCGTTATCCCATCAAATAATCTGTCACTTTAGTATTTGGACGTAAGGAACTTTTAGTGACATGTCTTTACTAATGGTTTGTTTCCTTAAGGCTTAGCTAATTAAATAACGGAACACGACCTTATCGTTAGTAATGGATGTAAACGATTAATCGGATTTTTGTCATACATGCGGAAATGACCTAGAAGGTGATAACAATAATACTGTAATGTAAAGATAACTGATGGCAACTGAGAATGCCATGTCAAATATTTGCAAACATTTTATTTTTATATAAGGGATCTAGAGTAGAGATCGTTTTGTTAAAAATCCGCTAATCAAGAATTAAAATTTCTTTGCTTGATTGGCACCGAAAAAAAGAATTAAAATGTTAGTGGACGCCCAACATAACTCAAAAGTATTACATTCATTACGAATCATCTTATGTGTTTATATAATCTTTATTCTCTTCCTGATTATCTGTCTGCGATATTTTGAGTCGCTGAATAACAAACAGTTTAAGACTGTAAACAAATTACCGATCACTACACGCATTAGGAATAAACGTCTACCTTTATTATACTATATTATCGTTATTACTATTGGAGATACAAGGACAATATTTTGCAGTTGTTTACAGAACATGCTTTGAAAGTCTAATAGAAGTAGGAATGCATATCATAACATAGGTATCCATCTATAAAAAACAGGATTTGCGTCGCCATTTGTTATAACATACAAGATTATTGTTTCTTTTATTAAAGCACTGTAATGAACGGCACTTATTAAAATATTTGCAAACATTACATACTTATTATTTTCTTATTTCATATGCTTTTTATACTTTTGTTGTTAGATCGTAGAAACTCCTGGTAAGCTTTTATCAGAGATCATAAATTCTCGCGAAAGTTGAAACTAACAATGAATTTCAATTTCTTAATAGGTATTACATTCCTGACAGGTATATCACACAACACAACAAGTACAATGTTAATAATTCAGTAAGCAATACCTAGTAATTTCTCTTTCTAATATAACTTTACACAATACTTACTGTTTTGTTACAAAATTTTATATTCTTTCATAGAATTGGCATATACCTACCTATGTTTTAATTTTTCCAAAATCATGGTGACTGTAAAATTTTACGTTCATTTATATAGTAGAATCTACAATTTTCCTATTCTATATTAACTGTAATAACAATCGTATTACGTTCTGAAAAGTTTTGCCATGTTTAGTATTAATTTATTTGCACTGTTATATAATAACTACTTGCATATATTATGTATGTATGTATGTCACTGAAATAATGGGTGTGGTATTTTAGTACAGATAAACAGGTATTGACGTAGACGTGAAGAATTTTTTTTTAAATTTCATTCGCTTTTATCAATAATCGCTTATTGAGTAATAAAACTGAACTAAGAATTAAAAATCATGTCCGCGTTATCACTTGAGTTCTCAAACAAGTTTGAAAATATTATGTATGTAGCGTGACTGTGTGTGACCCGCGTGATTTATTTTACTTGTTTTAATATGATACGTATACATTTGTACAATTGTATGTATTGTTGTAAGTGCAATGTGCAAAATTATGCCTAATCAAGAAAGAACTGGAAAGCCTTACCTTTAAATACTAAAGGACTAGTCCTCGCTCCTCTTACTCAGCAAGATGTGGAAAGCGATTGATTAATGACAAATTAAAGCAATTATTGAATATAGTATATATTAATAAACAAATCGACTTATAGTTAGTCTCATTAAAGGGCGGAAACCTTTTAATTTAATATTTTACAAATACAAGAACGTTTAATACTTTAATAGCAAATATCCAATAGATGGCGATACCCTGTCTGCATTTGGAGATTTTAAAAATATGTTTAAGGTGAAGTTTATTAAAACCTAAAGCGGTTTAACTATCAGAATTATTTACACAGTCGTGAATTTTTTAAGGAACTTTTTTAAATGAATGATTGTATCACTGCAGTTGATAAGATAACTTAAGTTTGTATTTGACAGTGAAGTATTTCAATTTGTTTTCAATCTGTCTTCGGAAGTAGCTGCTAAATGTATTATTTATTTATCATGCATTACGGCCTCGAATGTTTTGATTATAAGTGTGCACAGTAGTTTGAAGAACAAATCAAAATGTGGTTACTTCTTTTGTACTGTGTATGTGGGGTGGTAATTTTTAGTTGCATTTGTTATGCCTACTTGATTATAAAAGCAGCCGGTAAGATTCTGTTTTCTTAACGAAAAACCTTAATTCTAAATTAATCATTATCGGCCTGCCTTTTATTTAACACCAACAAAATTAGCATTTTAATTTCAGTATGCAAATATATAAACATCGATAACAACCTTTGCAACCACGTAGGATGACTAAAAAATGTTTGATAAACAACACCTTACAAGAATAGTCAGTTTTATTTCCATAATTTATAGCTTCTTTTTTTTTTTAATTAAGAAGTCTGGAGAAATTATTGTCATTAATTTATTACATGTCGAGAAAAGATGAGAAAAAAGTATTTAATTATGTAAAAGAAAATTGACAATTT